CGTAGTGCTAAATCAATTTTCAAAATATCTACTAAAATATATTCAAAGTGTTAAAATGTTTGTGTGGTATTTCATGAACTAATGACATATTAATTGAAACATCCATGTTATGTTTTCATACTGTATTAACACATTGGAATACTAGTTTTGTAGTACTCAATCAACTTCCAAAAATTAGATTAAAATATATTCAAAGTGTTAAAATGTTTGTGTGGTATTTCATGAACTAATGACATATTAATTGAAACATCCATGTTATGTTTTCATACTGTATTAACACATTGGAATACTAGTTTTGTAGTACTCAATCAACTTCCAAAAATTAGATTAAAATATATTCAAAGTATTAAATGTGTTTGTGTGGTACAGTTTGTATTTCATCAACTAATTACAGATTTATGGAACGCATGTGATGTTTCCATACTGTGTTATCAATTCCATTGATGTGATGCTTGTTTGTTGACCTCATTTGACCTTTTACTACATCATGCAGTTTTTGCCTTCCTATTCAAATAATGACTGCATCTAATTTTGTTATTAGCTTAAGAGTACGCCATAAATACGTTCAATGCTTGATATGCGTTAATATTTCTATATCTTTACAAAATCTAATTCATTAAATGGTCAATATAGACACAAGAATGGTGTGTTTATTATTAGGCTTGGCTGTAATATTAGCTTCAATAATGGATACTTTTCAAACATACTATGAATTAATAATGTGGTTATTATGAATAAAGTCATACGGAGTGAATTTTGGGTAGACAGAAAAGTGGTGTTGTTTTTATTACTTCAGTACAGAGTTTGATTAACTTGTCTGTGCAATTATGGAATTTTTCTTCACATGCTCTACGAGTTAACAAATTTATTAGGCATTTTCCAAAATTTCCATATATGAATTTGGTTCAGGTTTATGCTAAAGTAAATTCAGTAACCATGACATTCACATAGATTTTCTTTCTTGTAGGAAAAATAACAATTTACACAGTTTTTGCCTGGTTCTATCTGTTTTAGACAAGACCGTTATGACGCACTGAGGATATGTGTCGGTGACAGGGTCTGCCAACAATTAAATAGTCTGAAGTTATTTATGGTTGGTTGTGGAGCCATTGGATGTGAAATGATGAAGAATTATGCCTTACTTGGGATCGGTTCATCACAACATGGTTTGGTAAGTACATATTTCACATTCTGTGACAGTTTCTCTTTAAATTTGTATAAACCTTTTGAATGCCAAATTTAACATCCCTCTGGGCCGAGTGTTCCTTCCTATCTACTAATACTTACTTAATGGGGGTCTCTTCGGTCACTTTCATTCTCTATGCCCTTCGCTTGGGCTAAGGATTCTATCCTGCCCCCATTAAAGGGCACGGCGGCCATTTTCATGGCCACCCCCCACATTTCGGTTCTTGTAGGAAATCCTTGACCTTGTGCGACCCTGGTCCTGCGTGACTTTGGTACCCACCGATCGAAGGGCCCCTGCCCAGCCTTTTTTACAGTCTTGTATTTTTTATAGTTTTGTATTTTGTAGTTAGTGCAAGTTTTATTCAGTTTTCTGTTTGCAATGAAATATGTGTTTTTTACTCTACTTTTGTTGTGGTGTGCATTTACAAACAGGCTTATTTTATAGTTCTTATTCAAACAAAGTTCAAAATGTAGGCTTATTATTCAGTTTCTGTTTGTCAGGAATCATATTTCAGAACCTGCTGAGCCAATCCATTCTTTGCATGTGTCTAGTACTTTATGTGGGATATATGCATATGCAGTGTTCTGATTGGTGATTTGATCCAAGATGGCTGACTGGCAGCCATTTTGTTTTTTGAAAATATATCTTGCACATGCTTTGTCAACTTTTGTGTAATAAATTTGTGTAAGTGTAATAATATATATTATTATTATTAATGTCAGTGGCTGAAAACCATTCATAGTGAAAATGGTTTTAAAATTTACTCGTACTTTATTTAAGTTATACATTTTTTTTTATTCCTTTGTAGATTACAATTACTGATAATGATCTTATAGAGAAATCAAATTTAAATAGACAGTTTTTATTCCGATCACACCATATACAGGTAAGACTTCTCTCATGTATTCTTGCAAGGCAAGATTTACGATTCACTGCATGAAATTATTTTATCGTATTAGTTTGATGTATAGGCTTAGGTCAAAGACAGAGGTGTGTCAAATAGAAGATATGTCCAAAGCTTGTATTAGAGATGCACTTCTAACACATGCATCCTCTGCTGTATTACTTTTCCTATTCATCCAGGGAGCCTTTTAGTCCGCAGTATGTGTTAATGGAGCAAATATGGTGTATGTATAAACATAACCTGGCTATATAAAACAAACAGACCTTGTCCTAAAAATGACCGATGATCAAGTTAAAAATGGCTTTCTTGAACACAGTAATGTCTGTGATTGATTGTCTAATGGTCGGGATAGTGATGATTACCAGCCTTTATGAGTGTTGGATTTGCAAGAGTGACTGGCTAGTTGATTGATCACTCTCCTTATATGAATTATACCCTGTTAAATCCCAAATCTATCTAGGCTGAACACTATTACCCTAATCCTTCCATTCTAGTGTGTACCTATTTACATGTAGCTAAGAGCCTTGTATATCATGTCTAAGAAATTTATGCTAATTGTTGAATGTTTCCTTGTTTTATTTATTATTTCGGTCTGTGACAGTGTTTGATTTTGTTTGTTTTTTGTAATTATTTATTTCTATTCTATTCTATTCTATTCTATTCTATTCTATTCTATTCTATTCTATTCTATTCTATTCTATTCTATTCAAGTGCATGTGCTCATGTCTAAATAAGTTAATAATCTAGTGTACAATAAAAGCTAAAATATTTGACATAACACAAATTTTGCAGGTGAAACAGAGGGTGCTGTGCAGTGGTGAAATAAGTTTTTAAAAAAGATTAACCGACACCTTTTTTTGGTGGTGCCAGGCTGACCAGAAACGTGTATGTTTTCAGGCCTATTGGAGCAAATTTATATTTGCTATATTTAGAAAAACATTTCATTTTATGAAATGGGAAAAATCACTGATTTTATACTATGCACTTGTGATTCAAAACTTAGTTGTAAATTATGAGACATAATTAAAATCTCACTAATTGTGTATTTCAGCAACCCAAGTCAACAACAGCAGCACAGTCTGTTCTAGATATTAACCCAAGTAAGTAGGAATAATTAATTATGTATTGAATAGGACCACAATTTGATGGCTAATCTACTTTTGACGCAAGAATTTCCCCTATGACTGGTTTATTTGAAAGTCTGGGATACTTTAATTTTCAAAGTGGCAATAGCTGTGACTTCAAGCATATTTTTTGTTTATATATAACCACATAAAGATGACCTAATTTTACTGAAATATTGTTTTATACACAATTATGGGAAATAACACGTAAAATCTGCAGTAACAGGTTGTCAGAGAGAGGCTTAGCACCTGAAGATGGTGAAGTATTTCGCCCAGGGCCACAGATAAATTCATTTTGAGATTCGCTTGACATCCATCTTTTTCCACTTGCAAGTGATTTAATGTACTATATATATAGTGTATATGCTATGATTTCAGTGTCGGCAATACAAATATACTTGGCACATGAAATGTTTTATTCAAAGTAAAAATCAGAGAAATGAAGTTTGATAATTACAGCTATTGTCGCTTTAAAGCATAAACCTCAGTTGTATATATGTATATTTTGACAAATTTTATTTTCAGCAAAGTTGGGCTCAATACTGTGAGGATATATCTTTAATCTATTGCTTACAGTTTTCAAATATTGTAATGGTAGAATAATTCAAAGTGAAAGGTCAATGTTTATTTGAGGTTAACCAATAGGTGATTTCTTGCATAATGCGTGAAAGGCACAGACTGAATGTCAGCCACAAAAATTGATTAATATCATTTTGAACAATGTAAACATTTTGGTCAGAGGGGAATATGGTGTTGAGATAACCTTACCTCATCATAATTAATGGTCATCACTCATTATTAGCACACTATTACATGTAGAAATACCCCAAAATACTTTTAAATGTTTGTTGAATTCCATGCACGGCACTACAATGTTATGACCTTTGTTCGTCCAGTTTTTACGTTTGATTTCATGCATAGCGCGTGATCTCGCAGAGAACGAGAAATGATCTTATAAAATTATTCTTAGACTTTCTATGTGAAATTCACACTTTATTTACATCTGGTTGATTGATGAGTGGTGTTATAGGCCAAAAAGCATTGTTTCAAAAAAAAAAATGTGCATCAACTATTTTTATATTGTGCATCTGAAATTCAATAAAAATGTGCCTTCTATGGCATAATCAACCACTGAGTCTTAAAGCACTGTAAGGGAGATAAGAGAATAGGCTACTAGCTTCTAAGTTTGATATTTTCTCTTGTATTGTACAAGGGAAATTGTGTCTCTAAATTAAATACATGTGAACTTGTGAAATTACAATAGACCTGAAAACCCTGTGAATTTAATACACAGATTATCAAATATCAAAGCAGTGAAATTATACTGAGGTCTTTGACCTAAAATCTTTGCCATTGAGATCATTACAAGATAGCCTAATTCCATGCATCCTTGCATGTTTATATTAACCCTGAGTGTATGTGTCATGAAAAGTTTTCACAGAAAACACAAAAATAGTATCCATACACTCATCACTAACTCATTACATCTAACTCGTGTTTCTTGCTATATACACTGAAGAAAACCATTTATCATCGAGTGCTCAATATAGGCCTTCACACTGTGATGTCATGTGTTTACGTTTTTGCAGACCAGCATGTGAATGTATGTTAACAAATGTTCCTCACTGATCGGCACTAGCTTGCATTCCACTGTGACGACATTGCCTGTAAATTGTTCTATTAATGGGAACACATACATGTGATAAATATTACAGTGAATACCAGTAACATTGTTATTTATATTCAGTTGCGAATGACCAAATGACCGGTTCTTGACAACTTGTTTCTGCAGACATGCTCACAAAATGTAAATAAATGTGATGGCTGATAGAAACCTTCAAAGATCGAGTTACCACATCATTTGTTGACATTCATTCAAGCCCAGTTTCTAACATTCTTTTCATGTAACTGACCGGATATATTTCCTTCTGTATATATAAACTGCTTGAAATAGATATCCTAATTTCAGAGCCTAGACAATCTATCCTTTTTATGTTGACAGTTGTTTTAATTTAACCCAAAGGCTGGCTCCTGCTAGTCTCATTGAATCAGGGACAGAACACTAAATCTGAAAAGAGAAAGTTGCAAGTTTTAGTAGTTTATGGAAAGTCAGTTTTACATTGCAAACTTTAGAAAAGGATTATTCATTATACATTGTGTCTATTGTTAATGACCTAAATTGTCTCCAGCAAAATCATTAATGTCACTGGTATTCCGATGCAAAAATATTGCCCGAGCCCTAAATGCTCAGGTTTGAAACATTCTCCGATATATTCCACTGTATATATAGTTTTGACACAGTGTGATCATGCCCGTGTCTGAAGTATGGTCATGTGTATACTGTTAACGTTAGGACTATGTACCTTAGTGATACCAGCGTGTTTTCTTGTGAAGACTTCATATCAAGTTGTGGCAAGAAGTCTTTATAATTATTTGATATCTGTTTGCTCATCTTTCAGCGCTGCATATTGAACCACAGCAATATAGAGGTAAGAATCTGTTTTACTTTGCCGATTAATTGTTGTGAACGTATTTTTGGTTTATTTTACCAAGTTATTTCTTCCAAGTTTGTTAATTGTTTTCACACAGACTAGCAGTACTGGTATATTATGAAAAGATTCTCTTAGAATAAATAGTCATATAATTGCCATCTGAATGTTCCAACTTTAGATACTCTATGTTCAAACCCACACTCCACCACCATGCAACTTACAAAGATTTTATGGCCAATGAGCATGCATATCCAGGGCTCAAAATTATCAGTAGTCCAAGGCACAGAGACTACAAATTCTTGTGCCAGATTTTCTAAAATCAGTAGCCTAACTAAAATTTTAATGCTTCTCCACTATATATCAAAATAACAAAGTATGTGTTGTCTTTCACAAAGTGTTTTTTTTTTTTTCCCCGCCAAGTATATTCACAATTATCTTCGTACCAATTAAAACAACTTTGAACTACACAGTATATTGTCTGGCTAACAGTTTTTGCAATTATAAGCCCACTCAAGCTCCCAAAAAATAAATTTAATTTTTGGCAAATTATTCACTGGCAAAGAACGAACCCGACTCAAGCGAATTGGCGGCAAAAGAAAATAAAAAGTTAGTTTAATTCTGTTGAATCTAAAATTACATTTCTGGCATACAGTGAAATACAGCATTAAAAGGCAAAAACAGAACTGTGACAAAACGATAAAAAGCACTCAAAAACAAGAACGAAACAAAACAAAGCGTGATACTAAATACAAAATGATAGGAAAAAAAAAATGGGTGGGTGGGTGGGTTGAAAATAACCCAAACAGAAATGACTGGGCACGAACAGCGTGCGATGTAAACAGTGCATGTACACAGAACGAAGCGAATGGCTACAAGAAACATGCGCAGTGGAGAAATTAAACAAACAAACGAAGTTATGCAAATGACAAGTATGCAAATGAATAATTAACAATTTTGAACTGCGTACAAAATACGACAATTATTCACTGGCAAAGAACGAACCCGACTCAAGCGAATTGGCGGCAAAAGAAAATAAAAAGTTAGTTTAATTCTGTTGAATCTAAAATTACATTTCTGGCATACAGTGAAATACAGCATTAAAAGGCCAAAAATGAAAGCCGCCAAAAGCAAATGTTCAAAGTGTCCGATCGACTTGGCCAGACTTGATAGCAGCGCG